ATGAAAGTAGAATTCTAGATTGATTTGTTATAAAATCAAGGTGATATGATTCTCAAATTTTAGCATATTCCCTTAATAACTTGCGATACAATATTGATGATAATTCGACAAATTGGTATGTATTACTCTTGAAAATCAAAAAGATCATTGAACAAGTATTGGTTAATAAAATTTAAAATTTGTAATTTAATTCTAGATAATTATTTTATAAATTTGAAAGATAAGGTAAACGACAACAAATCTAAAATATTGCTAGATATATATGTGTGTGTGTGTGTGTGAAATCTATAAGATTTTTTTTTTTGTGTAGTCCAAATTTGGATTCTAAATTTAAAAGTCAAATAAGTTAAAATTAACTTGGATGTAAATGACATAGTCAATTATTTATAGTTTAATAAATTACTCAACTACTTAAATTTTTTGATTTGGATTGTTTATACAAAAATAAATTTATTTTAATAAGTGGAACAACTTAAGTTTTATAATTGTACTTACTATCACATCAATTTTTAAATATAAGATAAAATTTTACCAAAATAATTATTTTATTGAATAACATTGCAGTCAAATCAAATTTATGAATACACATTTTAAAATGACACTTATTTTGAAATAAATATAATGTAATTTATTATTAACTACATGCACCGTAGGGGTTTGTACTAATTTTAAATCAACATGTTTATATAATGTTGCACAATTTTACACGAGGAACAAGAATAAGTAAAATTGTTATTTTTCTTATATCAAAAAATAAATATATATACAAAAAACAAATTTATTTATTAGTTTATGGCTAGCGCTAACAGACTCAGTTTTACGTTCCGACAAAAAAGTGACGCTAATGAAAATAAGTGGAAAATAGATGATTCAACTCTATTATTTTTTAGGGTTCAATGAACAAGCTCTATGGACTCTATGAAAATTAATTATTTAATATCTCTGTCCCGTGCATCGCACGGGCTACTCACTAGTTAAATGTTTACATAACGTAAGAAACCCAAGAAAAAATAGTTTTGAATTCGTATGTTGAGAATCAGTGCCAACTTTTATAATAATTTATGATGATTGGATTGAAAATTGAAAAAGAAAATAAGGCTAATATCAAAATTATGAATGTTAGAGTTTTAAAATTGTAAATCACTTGCTATTTAATATTATGTATGGCTGGGTTACTATTTGAATTAACATTATTATTTTGTAAAATTATTTTTTCTTTGGTTGGGTCAATATTTGAATTAAATGTACATTTTTGTCCTAATATGTTTAGCAATATCATTTGTAGGCCAATATATTTTTCCATATATTTTTCAACGATATGGTGTCTACTTCATTTTTGAACGGTTGATCATGAGTATAGAATGTTGAAATGGTTAGTTCAAAAATTTATGTGATTTTTATGAAAAATGAGTATCTAAAATTTTAGCCCAGTCTATTCTTAATTTCTGAATTCGTCCCTGACTGAGAGCAACTTATATATTATTTACGTTTTTTATCTGTTAAGGGGGCAAAGTAATTTAATATACATAATTAGGAAAAGAAAAAGTTTGGGGGAATATGGCCCCCGGCATATGTGTAGGTCTACCCTGCTCACATCTATAAATTCCTAGACCAAAAATGTTAAATCATAAATGGATCATTAACATTGACGGTTAAAAACATTTTCTAACCAAATGAAAAACGTACAATATTATCGTTGGTTGTTCTATAGGACAATTACAGCTTTTAAATTAGACGAGCCGCGGGTCGGTTCGTTAAGGTTCGAGTTCGACTCGGTAACGTTTGATAAATGAGTCGAGCTCGAACTCATTTAAAGCTCGTTCAATTAACAGCTCGACTCGATAAGACCCGAAAAAGATAGTTTTTATGTATTTTTCTATTATTTTACTCGATAAAGCTCGGAGCTTTTGTTAATATGGTAAACGAGTCGAGCTCGATTAGAAGCTCACTAAGGGATCGAGCATCATGAGCTGGAATTCGGCTCAGCTCGTTTACTCCCATAAGGACAATTATGGAAAAAGTTAAATTTTGTGAATGATATGTAAAGTAGGTAACCACTCAAGCAATCAAACTTGCAGATTGGGCCACTGGGGAAGAACTTACCAACACTGAATATGTGCTGTGCATTTGTTTCCTCTTCCTTTATGAAATATCTCTATCATAGTTTCATTCAACAACACATTCACGCAGCACTATGCACCAAACCACGTTTTCACATGTCCAAGTTCCCTTTACGAATTCCACTAAAATAAACAACTTTTTTGTGCGTCCGTTTATGTCTTTTCATCCATATTAGAGAGGTCCATAATGTGAAAAAATTTAAAATAAAGGGGGAAAGGAAAAGAAAAGAAAAAAAATGTGTGCTTCCCTAAAAGCTTTCGACCGTAAAGGAGTGATGATTTTAGCCTTTGAACTAAAAGGGAAAGTAGAGGAAAGTGGGGCATGTTGTGTGATTGAATATATTATTCAACCTCGTTTCTTTATTTCACAAGTTAAAAAAATTATTTTAATTATTTAATTCATTTTTTAATAATTTTTAACATTTTTTTAAATTAAAAATCACTTTACTCCAAAATAATATATAAATGTATTATTTATCCATGCACATATTTATAATTAAATAATTATTTTATAATTTTCATGTCACATCACTACAAAAAAAAAAAGTCATTTCCAACAGAAAATTTTATCAAAAAATATTTAAATAAAAGATTCTAGGGATATTCCAATGGAAGTCATCATTAAGTTTTTTTTTCCTTGAAATTGTAATTGGAATTTGGTGATTTTTAATGTTTTTAAAATCGTACCGGTCAATATATTAGTTTAGTAGTTCATTGGTCAAATTTGTATTTAGTTTATAAATATTTTAAATATAAATAATATTTTATATTATAAATTCATTGAGAAAATTACAAATTTGATCTCAGAACTTTTGCTGTTTCCCACATTTGGTCTCAGGCACGTCAATTATAGTCCTTTTTGAATTTTCGTTGCCAAAATTGTCCCACTCCGTCAAGACTTAACAGTCAACGTTTATATCCTAGGACCAAATGTGCAAAACAGCAAAAGTTCTTGGACCAAATTTGTAATTTTCTCAAAGAGTAAGAGATAAAAATTATTTAAATTTATTTTTATTAGAAACATTTTTTTTTTAAAAAGTTTTTACTAAATGTTAAAAAGGTATATTACCATTCTTTCCTAACAATACATTTAGTTTATTTTTTCATAAATTATAAAAGATAAATATAACTAACATACAATTCTTTCACATTTTTTTATTGTAAATTAAAGTTGAACTTGATTTTTTTACATAAAATTATTATTTAATTGGGTAACTTAACAAAAGGTGTATAAAATAATTTTATTAATTAGTTCATGATAAATTAGATGCAAAAAAATATATGATACATTTTACTATAAATAAGTGGGAGCAAATGTCTATTTTCACTTAATTTAATGCCAAATTTTGTTTTATTATACTTAAAATTGAAATTTTTTATGTAGATATAATTTGCATAAATAAATAGATTTTCAATTATAGTTGTCAAAATCAAATTAATAAATAAAAAATTATTAAAATAAAAATAAACAGTAATAAAAAAATAATAATTTAGATTGGGTTTTTTTTAATTCGTATTATGTTATAAAGTTTGTAAGGGTATATATAATTATCACATTATACTACTATTTAAAAGTGTAGACGGGTTAGTATTATTGTAAGCATAGTCACATTTTTTCTTATTTTGATAAATTAGATTATGTCTTTTGGTTTGCTTTATTTAATTAAAATAATATTATTTTAAATAATATTCACATAATTGTCAATATTTTTTAAGTAATGACGGTAAAAATATTAGAAAATAAAATAAATACCACTCAATTAGCAATTATATCGTTTAATTTTCCACCCCAAATGAAAATTTATCAACGCCCTTACTTGATATTTATTTTTATAAAATTATTTTAATGTTTATTTCTCGCATCATAATTATAGTAAATTAATTTTATTATGTCATTTCGGCTTTGAGTGAATGAGAGAGACTTGAAGAACTTGAAGAATTCTTTTTTTTTTTTGGAAAAATTGCAAAATTGGTCCCATTTTGGCAACGAAAATTAAAAAATGACCATAATTGGCGTGCCTGAGACAAAATGTGGGAAATAGCAAAAGTTCTGGAATCAAATTTGTAATTTTCTCTAAATTCATTTACAACAACAACAACAACATACCCAGTATATTATAAAAAAATTAATTAAATATTTAGATAATTTAAAATATTATAAAACTTAAACTTAATAGGGCCAAACGAGATGGGCCCGAAAGTTATGAGGCCCGTTGTGGGAAGTACCGGGGCCAGCGTACTCAAGAGGAGACACTGTCGATTGATCTCTACAATGAACTCAACATAGAAGAGATGTCACTCGAGCCGAAAACCATGGGAAACCAAGAAGAGCAATTACCACCGGAGGCGATAACTTACACATATCCATTATATTTAACTATGTGTTTTTATTTATATTACAATTATTTTTAATATATTAAATTTTATTTAATTTTAAACAAAAATCTAGACCGGTACACCATTCGGTCTGACCGATTTTTGATTACTAGCAGTCGGTTTATTACAGCGAACCAGAATGGTCAACAAACGGTTTTGACTCATATTATATAATTGGTTTGATATATGAATTTAATTAATAATTAATATTTCATTATTTTCCAATTATAATACATTGGATTATTTATTAATTTATAGAGGTGGATATAAACTCTTTTATATATGAAATATCATATCAAATCGAAGACCATCAAAAGATGATTAATTTGAAACATATATTATATATAAACAACCGATAGCAAAATATAAAATTATTAAATTTTAATATATATTTATAATTTAAATTGACCAAATGTTTTATAATTTTAAAATTTATGCTAGCGGATAAAAATTCAAATCTAGACTACACTAAAGCACAAGAATATGACAACGAACCACCAAGAATTATTTACGAAGCACCGAAATTTAACATATAGGAGAAAATGGAAACACCATAAATGAACATATAGAATTACAAAAAATTGAAAGTTAACATTTGAATCCAGGTGACATGGAATTGCCCGCGTCGGGGTTTTGGTACTGTTTACTGATTAGTGTTGATTAACACTCTTTTCAAAACAAAATCTTAATATCGAATCCCATCCCTTCGAAATGTGAAGCAGAAAACAAAAAATATTCTATAAAATGGTGAGTCCAAACGAGTCATTTTACAACAGTCCATCATTAGCAAAATCTTCAGGTTTAATAAAAACGCGCTTTCACAACTTTGATATTTTGATGTCACAGTTTCGAGGTAAATCAATCCCCTGTTTACACAAAAAACACCATAAACTCCCCCTTAAGCGTTTCACTCATTAATTACAATTAACTACACACTCACAAAATTCCGATTAATTAATTAATCAACCGTACCAAAGAACCCGACTCCCGCAGTTCCACGTCAGCTCGCCGGGAACAGCTCGATCTCGATCAAATTATCCTCCTCAACCTCGCCGGCGCCCTTCTTCCCGCCGTTCAACTCGATCTCGATCAACCCCTCCCTGTCGTCCTCCTCCCCCTCCTCCTCCTCCTCCCACCGGAAGCACGCGTTCTCCGGCGATCCCCAATCCCCGTCCACCGTGAAATCCCCCTCCGACGAGGCGTCGCTGTCGGACTCCGGGTAATACAGCGACAGCGACGCGTATTTCCGGATGGCATTCATCTCCGACTCCCGCCTGGCCTCCCAAACGGCGCCGTTTTCCACGCCATCCTCCTCCTCCCCTTCGTACTCCTCGTGTATGACCTCCAGCGGCGCCCTCACGTCCCACTCAACAAACGAGTCCGCATAGAACGCACGCCGGGCGCTTTTCGGGTCTGGTTCTGAGCGGGAACACTGCCCGAGATCCGCAGTCGATTTCCAATCGCGATCGATGATGGATTCATCAATTTTCGGCGGAGAATCGGAGGCCGGCCGGCCAGATCCGCCGCTCTCCGGCGCCGATTTCTGTGCAGCGCCGAGCCTGAGGAGGCAGAGCAAGAGGATTATTGTGGAGAAAATGACGGGGGAGAAGATGAATTGGAGAGAGAAAGAGGGAAAATAGAGAAGGGCGAGAGTGTAAAAAGTGGTTATGGTGGAGAAGAGAGAATCTGAGGGGAAGGAGCAAAAAATGTCCCCCAAAAAATTGGTCATTTTTCTCTTTGTAAATTCGATATAGTCAGGACTGATAAATATCTATATATGATTTAGGAACAATGGAATATGAATTGTGTAGTGTTGTTTGAAATCCATGCACGAAAATATATGTGAGGTGGATTGATAATGGTGAGGAGAAAATGATGAGGGTTGGTCAGAGTTTTCAGTCAAGATTTATCTGATTTTTGGTCTTATTCAGTTTAGTTCAATTTTTTAGTTATATGACTGATGTTTAAATTGTACTCCATTTGATATTATTTTTTTAGTCATGGTCTGATGGCCACGGTTCAGGTTTGGTCTAGGTCAGTAGGTCGGTTCCGATTCATGTTTGAAAATAAATAAATGAATCATCGGTTCCGGTTTCCAACGGGTAATGCTTGTTCGACGCCGAAATTCTAATTCTAAAATTTGAATTATTACAATTTTTTTGGAATTTTATTATTTATACTATTTCTTTTTTCAATTTTTCGATTTAGGGCCGAAGCAATCAGGATCCGACGGGCCGGTTCATGCCACATCATTATTGGGGTGAATTTCACCCTATTGCCATCGGACACACTCATGACACATGTTGTAGCAAATTATTTTATGTTTTTACCGAGTACCGAATCAAAAGATTCGCTCCCCGGGTCGATCTCTCGAGGAAGACGGTTCGGAATTTAGCGTTGGTCTTGATCACACACGAAAAGAAAATAAGTCCTAAACACTCTAATCACGATTGATTTGGGGAATCAACTAAAACAATCTAGAACTAGAAAAACAATTTAAAGAAATAACAATTAAATTTCTAGAGAAAAAGAAGAAGGTCTAGGGGTCGGGAAATCTCATCAAGTCTTAAACTATGTTGAACGCTTATTTGTTCGGTTACGAGATTAAACAAGCCTACACGTCTAGAGGGCTATGCTCAATAACTCTTCGTAACAAGAGCACAAACATAAACGATAAATTCATTCAAACAAGCAACACATAGACAATACTTTTACGAACATGTCTACTCTATACGAGCCTAAATCGACCGACGTCTCCCCTCTCGGTTCTAAACGTCGATTAACTAGGTTAGAATGGTGATCAATCAACTAACCATATAATTCACACAACTCGTATAGATTGAACAAAACACATTCCTCATAATTCAAAACAAGAATCAAAATCCCTAACCCTAGGTGAATGGATTACCTCATGCTTAGATTCAATTTCATGTTAACCGGAATTAAGAACATAAAACCAATCAACAATAATAAAATAGAATTGAAAAACTTACAATCGGATTAAGAGTTGCAAGATTTCAATCCAAATAACTTTGTGTCCAACAATCCAAGCAAGAGAAAAAAAAAAGAAAAGCGGAGAAATTTATCCTAACAATATTGAGTTTTTGGAGAGAAAAATTGAAAGGAACGATATTGGGGATTGTTCCTTAGGTCTGGGGGTTCGTTTTCATATATAGAGCTCGAAAAACGGAGCTAAAACGAGTAAAAACGGAGAAAAATAAAAACAGGGTCGAACAGGTCGCGACTCGCGAGTTGACTCGCGAGTCGCGAGTCGGACGGGTCGTGGGGTCGCGCAGCTGGTCGGAGGCTCTGTTAAAGTCGCGAGTCGCGACATTGCTCTCGCGAGTCGCGACGTAGTCTCGCGAGTCGCGACTTTTCTCTCGCGACTCGCGACTTTGGACTGCACTGCGCCATTTTACGTTTCGGGCTCGTTTGGGCTCATCCGAACTCGGAATTGAGTTCCGTTTTTTGCTACGTGTCACTAACAAACCCATCTATCCAATTGTGCTCTCAAAACCAGCTTTTCTTGAAGAGAAAATTCGCTCGAAGCTCCTGACCTACACACCAAAAACGACAAAACACAAAAGAAAACCGGAAAAACAAATGGAAAAACACCTAAAGACTCAAGATGAAGGAAAACACATAATAAAACATGAAACGGACTAAAAACTAAAGAAAGGACCTAAAATAGGGGAAAAAGAAAGATAAAATAAACACGAAAAACGCAACAAAAATTGGACAAACAACACACCCGCCAACGTGCACATATGTGTGAATTAATGGTTCGCACCCTAATACGGGCATTATCCACACTAATATCGGGTCAATAAGAAGAGCATTGTGTTTGGACTTTGAGTTTGTTAATGGTTGAGGGTCAAATCTGAGAGATATGAGAGAGAGACTAATTTAGGAGAGAGAGAATGGTGAATTTTGTGCAATTTTGATACTTTCTTTGCCCTATTGCATGGCTTAAGAAACCGAATCGAACCGGACTTGCAAACCAAACCAATTAGTAGACTAGTCTGGTTCGCTGGAATTAACCGATTGCCAATCAAACGGTCAAAAACCGATCAAAATCGGCAAAAAATCGGCCGGTTCTAAATCTATATATCTATATATAAAAAGATTAACATTTACCAAAAATAGTTAGCAAAGATTTTGGACAACATTTAGTTCATCTACTTTTGGAAATTTTTGTAAAGATTTTCAGACAAGATTAAATGAATAGCCAAAAACAATAGTTTTTGGTTCCATACACGTCTGTTGCCATTAAAAATTAGAAATATTATTGTATTTTTTATTTGACACGATGTAAATCAGATCCAAGAATAGTTTAATACTGGGTTTTGGTTCTTACTACTACACACGATGGATTGAAATAAGGAATCGGACCAATAATATTAGACAACTCTTTATTATATACAAGCCTGAAAAATCGGACCAATAATATTAGGCTACTTTTATTCCATACAACGTAACATCCTAAAATTTTGGATTTTCCGATTTTGAATACCAATTTTTCAAACCTTCAATCAAAATTCGAAGTAGATAGCATACAATATGTCATCCAAAAAATTCGAATTTTGTTCGCCTATATTTTTAAAGCTCGACCGCAAGTGTACGGCTTCGCTCGTAGTATGTGGCAAGCAAGGTCGTATCCCAAGAGACCAAATAATTATTATACCAATTACTAGATTATGATAGTGTTGATTTTATTTAGATGACCGAATATGAGATGGATTAACTAAACTACGAAATAAATCAACGCAAATAAAGGAAGAATAAGAAAACAACTAGAAAAACACTTAAGAAGAATATATGGGAATGGTAGATTCTAAGACTATGGGTTCAATTAACAGTTGGGTTCCTTCAAATTTATCACAACTAACTATTTTCTTTATCTACTCTATAAGATGATCGCAATTTTAGCCTATCGTCCCTCTCGAGATCGATAAAACCGTAGATTAAATCACATATATTAGCGTCTCCACTCAACACATGCAATTCAACTCCAATTAGAACAAAAGATCTAATATCCTCACAACGACCTACTAATCTCTCGATTCAAGCAAGTAAATTGTGTCAAATATTAAAGACCTAATATTGAACTCATCTCTCGAATTATGAACAATATTGTCAAACATGTAAAAGAATTGATCAAGTTCTAAACATGAAATAAGAACAAAATATTTGAATAGGGTTCAAAAGAAAACAATCAACTATGATAAATCATCCAAAATCCCAACATATTAATCTACTACCATGTCTTAGAATCAATGAAATTTAGCTACTCATGTTTGAATTCAAATACATAGACATATTAGAAATCAACATGATCAATAATAGTTCAAAAGGAAAGAAGAAAGGAAAAACTAGGAATCTCGTCGATCTTTCAATCTCCTTGATCCCTTTGTGGTTGATCTCCTTTTGCCTTCCAATTGCTCCTCTTGTGTGTTTCCAAGCCTCTCTAACGTGTTCCCCTCTTTTTGGCCTCTCAAACTAGGTTAAATATGCTTCCTCTTGTGTCCAAAAACCTCTCCTAGTCAAATTAGGCAAGTATTAAAATTCTGTTCCAGCGCGCGACACGGCCTGACACGCCCGTGTCACAGCCCGTGTCACGGGTCGTGTCAGGTATCAAGCCTCGGAATGCCCCTGTTCATGTGACACGGCCACCTGACACGGGCATGGTGCCCGTGTCACTGCCCGTGTCACATCCCAGCACTCTCGTTTTTTGTCCGTTTCACTCGTTTCTTCCATATTTCTCATCCGTGCATCAATCCATCATCATATCGGGGGTCCTAGGTACTCACAATGCGCCTCCAATAGCCACAAGCTCTAAAAATACGTGAAAATATCTACAAAACAAGCACGTGTAATACCTTTCCAACAAATAGAGAATTAAAGCACAAATATGCGATTTATACACCAATAACGCAATGACTAAGCTCTAGATACTCAATAAATATGGTGTAAAATCACACATGAACAAACCCCCAAACTTAAACCATTGATAGTCCCGATCAATGCATCAAACTCCTACCAACACATAAGGAAAAACAATCACACTCTCAAAGTCAATCATACACATTCTCAATATGCATCGGGCAAATAATATAACTAAGTTCTGGAATTTTTAAACTTAAAGAATGCTTCATCAAAATCATGGTCAATACCTTCAATCCACAAACCTCACCTGATAAGTGTATACTCTCACTCTCAAAAGTGTATAGGGAAATAATCGCTCAAATCAATTCAATGTTGAAGAATTACCATAAGCTTGCAAATCGTCTATTATCTCCACCACTCAATGTGCATGCAAATCATGAATCAAAAAGGACTTTCATCGGTTGTAATATAGGCTCTTTGGTTAGGGTAGGAAAAATATGGATAAAGTGACGAAAACTTGAGCATCTAGAACTACAAAACATGAACTACACCAATTCATCACCTATCATTCATGATCAAGCTCAACAAAATCATTCCATAACCCATTTTCGATCAATACTCGTAAGCCATAAAAGAAAATTCAACACTCAAACCCAACCGTCCTTTATTCAAGTCAATAATAAAATAGAAACAACTATACAAACATTCCTCTTCTTTTTTTTCTTCTTTTTTTCCTTTTTTTTCTTTTCTTTTTTCTTTTTTTTTTTCTTTTTTTATAATAGGATATATCAACACCATTCAACTTCCACCATCAAATTACACTCCCATTCACGTCTTCCCTTC